AAACGGTAAAAACGTTATTGATGAGTGAGCTAGTGGCAGCTAGCAAGTAGCTAGCTCAGTTTATTGTTCATCTCCTATTTCATCCTTTCAAAGGTGGTAGTAGAGTATAATAATGCTCCTTAAATGTCATGGAATCACGAAACATTTCCGATTGGAAATCTACAATTTGGTTGATGCATCAAAAGTTATTCCTTTCCTTTTACAGCTGAAATGTACCCGAATTCTCTAACGTGAAAAAAGGGAGGAAAAAGTATCTCACTGAATATTTTTTCAGCTGGCTTCGCATTAGTCCAGTACTCCAGTATGCGGCACATGTGTTTTCAATAATTCGCGAGGCTTCATGTTTTATTTTTATTTTCCCTCGGGTAAGAAAAATAAACTGCACAAAGGAAGCACAGTCTGTGTGTTTATAAACATTGCAGTTGTTGGGATTCGAGTGTCTCCAAATAAATAACGTATACAAGTTGTCAAAATATTATTTCCTATACTAATATGACACAAATGTTGATACAAAAAGACTTGGAGTTAGAGATATACAGGGTAATGATGATGTATTATCGAATAATAGGTATAATCAAAGGTATCTATAATACAAACTACTCCAATTCACATATCTATTTCATATTGATTTTTCCATGTATAAATAGTATTTGATAGTCATTTACTATTTGGAATCATCATCATAACAAATATCCACATTCCCCTAGGGAATTAGAGTTCACTTCCACAGTATAGGGTTGTAAGGAGATCTCTAAGGCTAAGGAGATTCGCACAAAACATAACTCGTATCGTACCTACACATAAGTCTTTTATGTTATCGGTCAATTTCAATTACTCTTTGGAAAATGTGGAAACAGTTTAGCGACAGTGAACTAACTTCGATTAGTTTCTCAAAATAATAAAATGAAATGTTTCACTGAAACAGGCCCATTCTCAATGAGTTAGTTACTAAAGTTCATAATTTTGCATCAGAGGTATTCAAAGCTCATTTGACCATGCAATTCAACAAGAATAATCATCACCAATTTCATCGAAGTTTTTGACAGCTCTGCGTTGCCGACTCAGAAGTTTTACCGATAGATTTAGTGTTCTTGGAATGCCTCTGGAGGTATCAGTGTGAACTTTTAGTGATTTCAGACATGTCAAAATTCTTGAATTTTTGATGACACAACAGATAATTTTCTGGCGGGTTCTCGAAACAAAAGGAGTCCTATTCATTTTACGCTTTCTCACCAGGCATCAAGTTCACTGCTGTGTTTTATTACTTATTGTTTTTGTGGATAGCGAGTTATTACTGATGGTGCTTGCATTTTCGGTGATTTTCCTTTTCTCCTGTGTAAAGGTACGTGAGGTAATACAATATGATAACCACTCGTATGTTAGGACCAAATTCACTTTGAACTTTATAGATATCGTCCACCAATATTCTGTTTTGGGTTGTCTCGAATACTACTAAGGTAACACTGTGAATGCCGGGATATAGAGGCACATTCAATATTCAGTATGATGGAAAGAAATCCAATAAATCCAATAACTCATCCTATTATTAACATGTCTCATGAAGAAAACTTGCCGTGTTTAGATGAAAAGGACACACCTTCAGTGATACAGTTCACTTTTCAAAATACCCAAATATCGTGACCTAAATCAAAATGCATTTCTCTCATGTTACCTTGAGATACATAGAACACTAAGAAAGTAAACAAAAGCTTGAAAATCTTGTTGCAAATAGAGTTAAACGTGGAAAATTTAATTTCAGATTAGGAATAGCATTCGCTAGATTTTCAATAATGATCTTGAGATCCAGAGTTTACGAGAAAGCACATTGCAAAGATGGTGGACCTAGGATCCCAAAAAATAACCGGCATGTTTGGTACAAGCTATATGTGCGAACAAACGCTTTCAACGGTTTTCATCAATGCAATTGCAATTTGCAATTACAATTGCATTACCTCGTTGGTCCCAGCACTGGGACCAAACGCCCCATAAGTCGAAACTTGTGCGGGGTTAGGTAAGCATACAAACACAATGGAACTAAGAAAAATTGTCTCCGCAATAGGCTCTCGAATGACCACCTTCTTTCACTGCTGAAAACTTCAGCATCACAAATGGAGCCGGCCTATGATGAAATCATGCAGAAACAAAAACAGTTCCACATGTCATAATTATGCTCCTCAACCTTCTACTTCCCAGCTAACTCAAATGTTGAGTTCAATTGCAATTTGCAATTCATTTCCTATTTTTATATAATGATATCGCACAACAAAACAATAAATTGTTAGTGTGTCCACTTGTTCAAACTGATGTCTCTCTTCATATTATACTGGCGCTTACGCAATAATCAATTGCGATAGCGTCGCTCTAGACTCCATTGTTATCTATTCCTTCGAGGTATTATCACAGATAAATGGATGATGGGCGAACAATCACCACATTTGAAAAAACATCTTTAACGAATAGGTGTCCTATATGAGGGAAAGAAAACAGCCTGTTTTGAATCACCTTCTAGTTCGAGGCAGTCCTGGATTTTTGGTAATTTTTGATACAACGAACTAACCTTATGATACAGGTTATAGTTAATGTCCCCTACCGCTTGACGATCATCCTTGCTCTTGTGAGCAACGCAAAAATCACAAAAAAACTGCATTTTTAGTATAATTTCATAACATCGATTTAGTTGAAGGACCATTTGGTTCAGGAATGTGTACACTTTCACCAGTAAAATATATTTTCATCCGAGGTTTCATCTAATAAGAAGGTGAACTTGCCTGAAACTACTTCACACGTTTTCGAGAAATCAATCTCTATGCAACGTTTTCCCGATATTGGACATAGCTTTCTGCATAGCGCTTTGCAGTCCATCCACAGTTTTTTCATGTTCAAAACGATAAGTATTACCGAAGGCTTCCATCAGCTATCTCAAGAAAAACTAAACTCTAATATCTTCCCTAACGAACACAAAAGACTATGATGATATTATTGATGGTTTTGCAAAAAAAAATTGAAAAAATTTAAATTCTCGTTTATTTAATTTTTCAAAGCTGAACATTCAATTCAACACAATATTGAAAACAAAACAAAATACAAATAACCTTATTTTTGTGAGAAAATTCATCTTTTTCAAGACTACTTGGCCTTGTCTTGCCTTGCTTGATCACTTTATGGAGTTTCTGCATGTGTACGGAATAGTATAATTCAATTACTTCTACTAGATTATGCATAAAACCTTCACTCCGTCGTTTTCTAACCAATCAGAAGTTTCAATTTGAATAATTGCCAGTTTCCTCATGACAACTAGAAACATTTCCATAATTTGAGAAGCATGAATTATGACACATCTCTTTTCTACCACCTTATAGAAAATCGACTGTTTGATAATCTTATGGTAGCATTTTAGGTGGTTGTAGCCGATGCACCATTATCTTCGAGATTATCTTATTCTATCTCACTATACCCAAATATGTAAGTATTATCCGAGGTATTATCCCGTATTATCCGATGTTCACCTCTTTCATTTCTCTTAGCAATAATATTTAATGTGACCAAAAATGGAACACTTTCAGTACATGAGAATGAGAAAAACGGATCTCGTTATTTTCAATCTCCTCAGGAAGGTTTTTCAAGCAACACTTTCATATACTGATCAATTTTTCTTTACACTTTTGCCACACTGAAATGAGTTAGATTTAGACATGTCGCATCATTGATTACTTAATTGTTGAATGTAAACATATTCTCAATAGGCCTATAGTTATTCTTTTTTTCTTCTCTCAACTTTTGACACTTTCGTACCTATTCTTCGATATGGTGAGGGCATTGTTCATGCCTCGGTTCATGCACAGTCATCATTTCCAAGCATAGAGAATATAGCAACATTATTGAACTTGGTATTTCAGTTCAAGTCTCTGGCGATTCGATTGAAGGTTAGTATAAGTGAACGTATTCATTCTGGCATCATTTATTGTAATATCTGATTTTCTCACTCAGTTCTAGACCTTGCTCCTTACTGTAGAAGCAAAGGGTGAAGTGGATTCGATTGATCGACTCTGTAGGACTTATTCTGCTGATCTTCTCATCTATCTGCCGACTATAGTGCTGACTCCCTAGATAATTCACTTAGTCTAGAGTCTAGACTCTAAATAGTTAAGTTCATGTCCGGCCATGACGTTTTGGGAGGTTAAACGGCATCACCTGCTATAAGCGATTAGTGGGATATCAGCAGGATTGGACTCGATTTCGCATCAGATAATGAGTTTGGAAAGAATTCAGCAAGCGTTATCCTTCAGCAGCATATTACAACAAGTGGGTATAACTTCATCAGTGGTCAATCGTACTGCAGAAAATTATTTCATTACTGTTGGCAATATCATGCACGATCATCTGATCCTATAGATACCTTCGATCTTCTGCAATTGAGATGTTAATAGCTTGTGAATATTCGATAACAATATAAGAATGGGCACTGCAATAATCGCATGTAGGTAATGAATATCGGTTTTACTATAGGTTTTATTGCATTTACATTCCCGATTGCATAGGGAATTTAATGACAATGAAAAACTATACATTATATGAGTCCATCTCGGAGCACATGTTAAAAACTTCACAAACGTTAAGATTTCAACAAAATACAAATACGATAAGACAGTAGTTTCTTCAATTGAAAATATTGAAATACTTGTACGAGTATTTCAACCAGAGGAGCTAGTGTGTTAGAGAAACATGTTGTCATAGATTTTTGTGGAAATCTCTCTCGTTTGTGAAGTTTTCTACATTTAATAAGGATTTTCATCGAGTAATGGCCGAGTCGATTAGAAAAAAATTAAAATCAAAATCATGTAAGCTCAATATATGTTATCAAGATACTCACTTATGAAAAATATAAACTACTTAAGCATAGCAAATTTTTCAGGGAAACCAAAGAGGAGAAGTAATTGATTATTGATTTGAAAGGATTATAGTAGTAGGTAATTAATCGACAATCATAAAAACGTAGTTACCTCTGCAAATTTCTTCTCGGATTCATCGAAATACGAATTAGAATGACACCCAGGCAAACACCCCTCGCCGTTCTTCATCCTGTGGGGATCGCAGTCGAATTTCTGCACGGCAGGATCCACCGGGGCTGTTATGTCAATCTCATCGCCAGGCCCCTCTATGCACATGTGGTTCTGGTTATTCGTCTCCGGAAATCTGGAACAATTCAGCGCATCTGCCCACGAGAACCCGAATCCCTGCAATATGGGTAAGCATCTCGCTCTCACACCCTCGCATAGACCTCGACAGGGACCGATGGGGTTGGTCACCTTCTCGGTACACATGGGCACGTAAACGGAACACAGGAAGAGCTTCAAATTCTGGCTGCAACCGTACCGGATCAGAGGCTGGAAGGACTGCAGTTGCAATTCGGCTTCTTTCTGAATGTCGTTGCCTCCTAGATTGGGCATTGCGGTCGTGTTGTACCACGTCATGCACATTTCCACCCTTATGGGCTCGCAAGTACGCATGAGGGGCTCGGAAATCGAGACACCCCAGAAAAATGCGAACAATAACAACAGAAACATTGTGAGGTTATGTCGAAAGGACGCGCGCGCTAATACCGACTACCTTCTCGAACGGACTCCGACCGAATAAGTTCTCAGACTCTCAGAGTTGATCAAGTAGGTAGGTAGGTAGACGAACACGGATTTCGGATCGGAATGTTGTTATGGCGAGAGCTTTACGGATACGGCCGACTCAATACGAGTATTCAAATTGAGCTTTACAACAAGCTCCTCACGGTGGACCGACTGGATTGTTGAAAAAACCAAACAAGCTATTTTAGCAGGTTAGATCGGCTCGAGCGGCTGGTTCGGGGAAAGGAGAGGGGTATTTGTCAGAATGATTAATTGCCGTGAGTAAATTGCTTCATTTGATTGTTTGACAGTAGGATAAATGATTTGATGATGAGATATACCTATATCTAGCTTGTGTATTTCATGAAGAGGGTCGAAAGTGAAAAACATCAAAAATCAAAAATATACCTACCACAACTTTATCTACTTTTGTTTTGAGTACAATTCGTTAACATGGCTGTAGGAGAAATACTGCTGATTAGATAGCACAAAAATGTGAATATATACAGGGTGATTCACGGTGGATGGCACATTAGACGTTTCTGGAGAACGCATTTCAGGATTATTCTGAAAAGTTGGCGCCTTGGATAATTACGTGTGTTTTATCGACCTAATATATTCTCAGCGTTGCGACGTTGCCGCCTATATTGAAAAGTAGCAACAACTTTGATTTTGTCAATGGAACACCCTGTATATAATTCCATTTTCAGATTTTCCCTGATGAGCTGATTCCATCGATCTATCACACTTGGGATCTATAGGGAATGATAACAAAGACATTGGGTGTGAAAAATCGAAATTTTTCAACTTTTGTGTCGAAACTATTCATAATTGATCAAAACGGTTTTCATGTCCTCATCCTAACTTTTCATGTACTATCAATTGATATTTAATCGAAATAAATACAGGGTGGTTCGGAATTAAGATTTTTGGCCACCCTGTATCTATTTCAATATATATTCAAATTGCACTTTCAATTTCAATATTTACCATCGTTAATGTTTTAGTTATTGCTATTTAAATGTTCTTCAAATAAGTTTCCTATTATGTCGATGAAAAAAAATCTATTTCATTATTTTTTAGTGCATGAAAATATCGTGCAGAAAAGTAACTCAACCGCACTAGTGCTGAAAAGTTACTTTTCAGGACGATTTTTGTATTGTTGAAAAAAAGGATATTTAGGAGTAACTAAATGATCCATTTAACTATTCTGTCTTATTTGTCTGTCATTTTGTAGCATCATTATCATTATATATGAATTATTGTTTATTAAATACCTTTTTTTTCATGAATAATAAGGACGAAAACACTCGTAGGAAAAACTTTGCACCTGACTCTTGCAGGAAATGTCTTTCGTGCCACCAACTTAGTATTCATTACTCAAATTTTATCTGGTTCATTGGACAGTGGGAGGCAGGTGGACGTAATATATACAGATTTTTCGAAAGCTTTTGATTGCCTTGACCATGGTTTGCTTCTGAGGAAGCTCGCCTGCTTTGCCCTCACCAAAAAACTAATAAATTTTTTCATGTCTTATCTCTCAAACAGGAAACTGCATGTTCAGTACCATGGATTCAAGTCTATTGAGATATCAGCTTCATCTGGTGTTCCACAGGGATCAATTCTTGGTCCTCTGCTATTCACAATATTCATAAATGACATATGCAGAACCCTCAAGTCAAATGTGTTATTATATGCAGACGATTGTAAGATTTATGCGACAGTCAATAGCATTCAGGATTGTAAGTTACTCCAAGATGACCTTCAAAGGCTTCATACCTGGTGTAATTCTAACTTATTGCCACTCAACATAAAAAAGTGTAAATATATGTCTTTTACGCGGAAGAAGCATATCATTGAGTATACCTATAGTATTGACAATGAGTTGCTAGATAGATGTTATCAGTTCACGGACTTGGGTGTGGTCTTTGATGTTAAACTAACATTCGTTGATCATATAACTGGAATGGTCGCAAAAGCTTACAAAACACTGGGATTTATTTTAAGAAACTCAAAGTTCATGCAGCAAACTGAGTCACTGAAGTTAATTTTCAATGCTTTTGTGAGGTCAAAACTGGAGTATGCCTCGGTGGTCTGGAGTCCTGGATATGATGTTCATTCTAATAATATTGAAAATATTCAACGGAAATTCTTCAAACACCTCTGGTTCAAAGTAGATGGGGTATATCCGGACAGAGGATTGCCCCAATTGACATTAACAGGTAGATTTGAAACTGCACTATTGGCTACTCGCCGTGCTTATAGTGGAGTCTTATTTCTATATAAATTGATTAATAACAAACTTGATTGTCCCCATTTACTGTCTCTCATTGATATACATGTTCCTCGATTGCCAGTGAGAGATAAATATTTCTTCTACTTGCGCACACCTCAATCTAATCTACTGCAGTTTTCACCTATTTATAGAATATGTTCAGATTATATGTCTTCTCAAGATTCATTTGATATTCTCTGTTCTAATATTGCTAGTATGAAACGAGCATTGTTGTAGTATTATTTGGTAGTGTGCATATCTGCATGTGAGCTTTTTTTTTTCTCTCTTCATAGTTTTTTTTTCAGCTCATATGCAGATATGCCCATCTCCATTCACCTTAGTATGAAACTTATGTATATATAGTTAGTATTAATCTAGCTTGTATCTAAATTGTAATTTGTAATTAATTGCTTATCTTTCCCATCCTGTAATTGGCTCCGGCTGTTGGATGGTGTATGAATAAAATAAAATAAAAATAAAATAAAATAAAACTGCCGTTGCGTGCGGAGAAGTGCAACTTTCCGCACTTGTTAGGAAAATAACTTTAACTTTAACTCCTAACTCCTGGCATAGATTGGAAGTTAGACATGTTTTCCTGTAGTTTTCAAGGTCATCGCAACGTCATCTAATGACGTTGGCGACCGCGAATAAAGACTCAAAATGTTTTCTGACGTTTTGGAGCATGTCTGTAGTTATTTGACGCCATTCCGTAATAATACGTTGACGTACAAAGAACCTGGTTTAGTGGCGTATATTTAGCTATCAATTAGTTTTCAAATGAATTTTCATAATTTGGAATACGGATAAATGGCTCAATTCCTTATAAAATTACATTTTCAAGTATGTGTCACACTTAGTACGTATTGAAACGAACAGTTGTAGTTATGATAGATGTCCTCCTTATATATTGAAAATCGACGTGTTCTTTCATTTTTTCCACAACATTATACCTGATGATAGGCACATAATGATAGATCTGTTTCCTTTTCAGTGCCGCATCTATAGGGCAAGAACGGATGGGCCACATTGAAATAAAAAAAAAAACGTGTATATAAAAGGTGTTTCCTTATATTTTGACCCCTACCTACCTACAGCTTCAACTATACGAGGTGGAAAACATCTTGAAATATGAAAGTTGTAGGGATTCATCTGTACTATCTTTTGTCACTCCTTAAATAAACAAATGAGAATCGCAAAAAGAGTCCAAATCAGTTTTTCTAATGAAACACTCATTATATTTTCAACCGTTGTGATACATATTTTTCAATAGAATCTAACTATTTCGTATTCTTCCCCTACGGAATAACCCATTTTGAATGAAAAACCAACAGATATGTCAAAAAATGCCTGTTTTGTTTCCATGGCATTTCTATTGTATCCACAGCCATCTAAATGTTCTTGACAACTTTGATTCAATGATGCTAAATAAGTGAAAAATGGCTTGAGGAAACATTAGCCTATTATATATTATATTTGTGAACAGAAGAGAACGATTTTCCACTAGAGTTGGAAATATACAGGGTGTTTCTTTAAAAAAGCTGATTTGGACTCTTTTTCATCATTTTGCGATTCGCATCTGTTCATTTGAGAAGTGCCACAAGATAGTACAGATGGAATCAATCCTACAACTTTCTCTTTTGAAGTTTTTTCCACCTCGTATACAGGGTGATTCACATAAGAACCGACATAGAGCAGGGGCATGTAAGGTGTCCCAAAATATGGCAATTTAACGCAACTTACCTCTATACCAAGTTGCTTCCCTAAGGAGTTATAGGCTTTGAAAGTGAAGTAATAAATGTTGAGAAAAATCAATATCTCCGTTATTCTTGAAATTAAAGTAACCAAATTTGGTACAGTTTGTGGTTGTATTTAGGGCGTTATTTGACTGTAACTAGAGCTCAATTGAAATTTGTAAAGGGAGTATACCGGGTGGCGCACCATTAATATTCAACAGAATTTTGTTAACCCTCGATGGATTTCGAAAATCTTCGCTTCGTTGTGTGGGCAATTCGATTCTAAAACATTTCTTAGTCTAGTAATTTCTTGAAAAACCTCATCGTTTTCATCAAAAACTCGAATGACTGAAAACGCGTGCTCTAGGTGTGTTATTTAAAATCATCGAAAATCCAAAAGTTGGCTATGAAAATAATCGTCAAACTTGACAATGCAGCAAGTAAGTTGTTCAATTGAGTAATTCATCGATAAACAATTGTTTGTTCTGGTTGTTGTTAAAGTTTTTTGTGTTTATTTTGGTTAGTTGTTAATCCCAGTTTTTCACATTTCAGTATCTGTACTTACTTTACGTATTTTGTTACGTATCTAAATAATAATTTGCCAGCCAATTTCTACTGCTCACAATTAATGACCTCCGTTCTTGTTGTACGTTTATTTTCATAGCCAACTTTTGAATTTTCGATGATTTTAAATAACAAATCTAGAGCGCGCGTTTTCAGTTATTCGAGTTTATGATGAAAATGATGAGGTGTTTCGAAAAATTACTGGAGCAAGAAAAGTTTTAGAATTGAATTGCCCACACAACAAAGCAATGATTTTTGAAATCCATCAAGGGTTAACAAAATTCTGTTGAATATTAATGGTGCACCACCCGGTATACCCC